ACTCTATAGTAATTGTTAACTATGGAAGTAAAAAATTGCCAGGTATTATATGATACAAAGAAAAGTTCAGTGATGAAAAGACTTAAAAACGCCTTACCCTGTTCAAATATTTTTTTGTCTTGATAATCCAGCTGCTATTCTTGATAGCCAAAATGTGTGATTAGCTTACTAAAGTGCACTTAATATGCTTGAATTACTGAAAACTGTAAAATGTACTTACCTTCTCGTTATTGTAGTAAGAAATGCAAAAGCCATCAAATTTCACCCATCTCTTCTGAAACATGCGCTTTCTGTAAAAGATATGAAATTGTTATTTCACATTCAAGTAGCATGAATGTGGACTTGATATGCATTTGTAATGTGAGCATGTTGAATACTCTCCCATCTGCTAGCAAACATAAGCTGAGATCATGTATAATTCTGACAATGGAACACGATTTTAAAATAAAATGGCACAATGGCACTTTAAAATCATTAAAAATATGACTGACACAGTATACAGTTACCATTATTATCATCAATAGTTCTGAGGTCAAGTGGGGAAAAAAATGTAGTCAGAAGCACCAACACCGTACCTATTTCCCTTAATGGAAATAATACTTTAATAAAGATAATGTAAGTTTTCCACCCCTCATTAACTTTATAGCTTTATTTTCTTCTTTGCTCTGAAGCATGACTAATATTTTGCTAAAATAAAAAAGCTATGTTGTATGTACACATAGAAGTTTTTTGCTATTATATAACCCAAAAAAGTCCTGTGCAAGTACATTCATTTTCACTTATTCCTAGTTCATTTAAATAAATCATTTTTTAAAGCAAATTGTTCTTAGGTGCCATCGAGTCCAGTATGACTCACAGCACCCCTATAACAGTTGACCTCCTACCTTGTGCCATCCCCACAATCTCTGAGAGGTACATGGTTGCTCTGAGCCCATTTATTGCAGTCACTGTGACAACACATCTGGTTGATCGTCTTCCTCTCATAATAGTTAAAATACCAATGGATCAAGCAAAATGATATCATCTTCTGTTTCTCAATTTCATTTTAAAAGGAGATAAAAAACACCCCAAATCCAAAATCCACAACTAATTAACTCACTTTTTAAAGAATGGCTATATACATTTTCTACCCAGGCCTTAGTTTGTGTTTTTTTTTCTTTTTATTGTTTTGTTTCTAAAATCCCTTCCTTGATGAGCTAGTCCTACAGGTTTTGAATGTGCTATCCCCTAGAGGGCTTTCAGTCTCTACTGGTATGGTATAGACATTTTAGCATTCAACAAAGAGATATAGCTAAAAACTTGCTATTATTTTTTAAAGTCCTTTATAAAGAAAGAGGTAAACATCAACCATATCTATACTTTTTTTTTTTCCTTTTTCAGTGTTTGAACATGGTTTAATAAAACTTCCAGTGACTTTCACAAAAATTACAGACAGAAAAGGACCTCAGGGAATATGGAGAATTTCTCTTTCAAGCCGATTCCTCAGAATCTGTACATCTATTACTCAGGCGAAAATAAGCAAAGCTACCACATTAATTCTAAGCATATTCATTATGTTTAAGATAAAATTATAACAAAAATGATCAAATAGGAAAGAATTTTCAAAGTTAATGCTCATATTTAAGCACTTAATGAATTGTAAACATTTAACACACTAACCATCCAATCTTTTCTTTATTCTCTTAACTCTCCGCTTCTTTTTAATGTTTCTAGATGTATCCAGGGAGTTCTGGTGGCCTAGTGGCAAGAAGCTACGCTGCAATCCAGAAGGCAGGCAGTTCAAAGGCCACCACCAGCTGCTACACAGGAGAAGGACGGACAATCTTCTCCCATGCGATTAACTGTTTCTGAAAACCCATCAGAGGGTTGATTCCGACTATGGTACACAACAAGAGATGGATCTATCTTAGGAGCTCTGTTAGTCTAGTGGTATGGAGCTGTGCTGCCAACCCAAAGGCTGGTGGTTGGAATCCCAGTTACTCCACAAGAGAAAGATAGGCAGACAATGTTCTTTCAGCCTCTGAAAACTCCTGGAGGGTTACCTATCAGTCGGTTCTGACTCAAAGGGACACAATAACACCACAACAGACCTGTCTACATCTGGTTTGTCCTTCAAGCAATCCAAGAGTTCAAGTTCAAAAAGTTAAAGGTAAAGAAATACTAAGCAAACACCCAATAATTGCACCTTGAATAAATCAATTACTCTTCACATTGTTGTTGTTGTTGTTAAGTGCCGTCGAGTCATACATGACTCATAGTGACCCTGTCTCTAAGAAGATAAAGATCTTAAGATTATTTCATTATTTTTTCTTTTCCCACTGAGAACTTCTTTGTTGATTTTGTTGTTGTTATGTGCTGTCGAGTCACCTATGACTCATAGTGGCCCTATGTACAATAGCCCTAAACCCTGCTCTATCTTGTTTCATTCTTATTGTTTCTGATATACCTATTCTTTTACCCCAGTCACTGAATCAATCCATCTCATTGAGGGTCTTCCTCTCTTGCACTGTTCCTCCATCCACCCAATTATGACATCCCTCTCCAAGGATGGGTCCTGCCTTGCAACATTCCTGAAGTATGTCAGACAGAGCTTCGGAATCCTTGCCTCCAAGAGCAGCCTGGCTTCACCGTCTTCACTTCTCTGCACCCTTTGGAAATCCTTCTAAGTCACCTGCACGGAGATCACTTCCTAATCCAAACTTACTTCTCTCTCAAAGCACCTTTTACTTTCCTCACAGCCCTGCATACAATCACTCATACACACATTTGCTTACTTTTATTATGAGGAAATCTGCTGTTAAGGACCTCTCCTGAGTGCTAATGAGCAAAAATGTCAGCCTAGAGACTAAAGTGTCCCTGTTCTAGACCATGATCTTCTCAATTGCTTGCTATGCTCTTGAGAGCTGGAAAATGAATAAGGATGACAGAAGAATAATCAATGCCTCTGAGTTAAGTTGCTCGAGAAGAGTATTAAACATACTATTGACTACCAAGAGAACAAACAGTTCTGTCCTGGAGAGCATGAAAGCAGGCTGCTCCTTGAAGGCAAGAATTTTAAAGCTCTGTCCCACATATTTTGGGCTAAATGCCTGGAGGGACCAGCCATTGGGAAAGAACTACATGCTTGGAAGAGTATAAAGGAACAGTGCAGGAGAGGAAGACCCTGGATAAGATGGACTGACAAAGTGACTGTGGCAATAGGGTCCAGTGTGTCAGAGACCATGAGGTTGACTCAGGCTAGGGAAAGGTTCAGGGTCACTGTTCACAGGGTCCCAAGAGTCTTAGTTTATTTGACAGCATATAACAACAATCATACTAGACCTTATGCTATACAAGGGAAAAATCAAAGACTATCTCACTCTGTACTACATGATCAACACCTCCACAGAGACAAATGGAACACTGTGTGTTTTTTTTGTTTTTTTTTAAGTAATAAAGGACCTGATTAAATACAGTTCTTTCAGCACTGTGTAAAGAATAACACACAAAATGCCTAAGTTCAAGCACTTAAGTAATCAGCAAGCTTAAAAGTAAAGAAAATCTGTAAAATGGAGTTGAGGAAGGAGAACAGGGCTCCTTTAGAAAATTCAAAGTTTCAAAACAGTGGAAGAAAAAGAATTTGGCACCTACTTTTAACTCAACTTACTTAAGATAATAATTGCTGTTACTTAGACTCAAGGTTTTCTTAGAACATCAACACTATCAAGATAAACAGTTCCTAGTTATATTAGTTTCTTAAGGCTGCAGTAAAGATTTCCAACAAACAGTGGTGGCTAAATACAACAGAAACGTATTATCTTCTAGTTCTAGAGTTTGAAATCAAGGTGTCAGCAGAGCTATCTCCCTCTGAAGACTCTAGGAAAGAATCTTCCTTCTTCCCCCCTCCCCCAAGTTCCAGATAGTTACTTGCAATCCTTGGTGTATACTGGTCTGTAGCTGTACCATTCCATCCTTTGCTTCTGTCTTAAAATCACTACTCTTCCTCCGCTTGTACTTGCTTCTACTTATAAAATAGGCATAACTGATAGTTAGGGCCCACCCTAACTCATGTGTAACCTCTTTTTAACTTTAATTATATCCACAAAGACCTTATTTCCAAATGACGTCACATTCTGCAGTCCAAGGTAGATATGAATTTGAAGTGGGGAAGCTTTTTCAACATACAGTCTGAGGCATCTGGGAATTTAGCATTCACATCTACAGACACCCTGTCAATAGAACTTCTAGTAGTTCTCTGTCAATGTCCTGATCTAGCCATTTTTAGGTGATCTTCAACAATATTTTGCCTCCATGTGATATTAGTATTATTTGCCAATTTCTACATGCAGTTGAATCACCTTTCTTGGGAATGAGAACAGATATGGATTTCCCCCAGTGAGTTAGCCAAGTAGCTGAATTCAAAACGTCCTGGCACAAACTACTGAACACATCCAGAGCTGGATCTGTTAGTTGAAACATGTCAATTGGTATCCCATTGATTCCTGGGGCCTGGCTTTTTTGCCAGTTACTTCAGAGCACCTTGAACTTCCTCCTTAATTACAATGGGCTCTTCATCATATCTTACTTCAAGAAATATTTCAATACTAGTCAATTCTTTTTGGTACAGCAACTCTGTGTATGTCTTCCATCTTCTTATAAAGCTCCTGGATCATTCACAGTTTTGTCCAGAGTATCATATCAATGAAGGACTTTTACTTTTCAAAGAGAAGAGCAAACTGGGGGAGGAGGGGTAAGAGGGGAGAAAAGTACAACAATGAATGAATTGAAATCCAAAGTCTCCATAAATGTTCATTAAAATGAATTTTTTTAAAAATGCAATTCTAGGCTTGAATTGGGTTTTTAGTTGTTTTAGCTTGAGAAATGCCAAGCAAATTCTTCCCTTTTTATTCTCTGACTCCAGCTCTGTGCATATTCCACTATAATACTTGTCTTCCCCAATTGTCCTTTGAGCTGGACAACTGAAAAGTTTGCCAGAAGAATTGATGCCTTGAGCTATGGTGTTGGGGGACAGCACTGAATATCCCATGAACTGCCAAAAGAACAAATGGGTAAGTCTTGGGAAGAGTGCGGCCAGATGCTCTTTAGAGGCAAGGATGGTGAAGCTTCAGCTCACGTACTCTGGGCATGCTGCTAGGAAAGGCTATTTCTCGGAAAGGGACATTATGCATGGAAAGGTGGAGGGTCAGCAAAAAAGAGAAAGACTGGCACAGTGACTGTGCAATGGATTCACGTGTGTCAGAGATGATGAGGACAGTACAAGGTAAAGTTCAATCCTGTTGTCCCAAGGGTT